TTGTATTAACACCATCAGAAAATAGCGCATATGAATCGAGAGATTATTCGGCATCGAACTTTTAGTGGAGTCATGCGATGTCGGAATTAAATATGTCGATAATTTATCGGGATAAGTTAGTCGAGTATTGTAATTCCATAGCTTTGTTCATGTGGGTCCATTCGGTCTCAAGGCTAGCTCTAATAAGTGGGAAAATAGAAACTGATATTTTGTTGTATAATTATGTTTAAAAATTCATTGTGTTATTTTTCATTTATTTGATAATTGAAAAATAAAAGGAATGAATTTGAATTTTGAAATGAATAGTGATTAATTTAAAATTCAAAATAAAATTTAAACATGATTTTATTTGGCAACTAAAGGAGAGAGAAAGTTGATTTTATTTTGGAAAATTCGGAAATCCCTTGCTATATGGGGAATTCTAATTTTGCTCCAAAAGAAAGAAGGAAAATTCGGAAATCCCTAGCCATGTGGGAATTTCGGATTTTGATCCAAGAGAGAAGGGGAAATTCGAAAATCCCATCTAGGAATTTCCTCCTATAAAAGGATTTTATTGAAAACCCTAGCTATGAGTTTTTAAGAGAAGAAAAAATCTCACCCTTTTCTCTCCTAAGGGTGGCCGAAATTTTGAGACAAAATAGAAGGAAAAATTGTTTCCTTAAGTGTTTTTTTGAAAAGAGCCTCTCATCCCAAAACACTTAGAGTCATAGTCTTGAATCAACGAGTGGCTTTTGGTGTGATCGTATCGATAGATCAACGATCTTGTTTCACGGCAATTCTCCATCTCGGAAGGTGAGATAGTGAGACAAGATCATTGCGGTCATATTTGATTCAATCGTCACAAAGGTATGATTGTCATTTTATTCCTTTGTCTATAAACATATATCATGCATGTATCTCTCGTTGTGGTTTACATTTAATTTGGAATTAAATAGATATGTTAAATTTTTGAAATTCCGCCTACAAGTTTGTTGTTGTTCAAATGATTTTTCATTAAAAATCACAACTAGATCCTACAGGTAAACCCTAACACAACTTATTTATTAATCATGTTGGTCATGTCAACCCGATTATGACTCAAACTCATTTATAATAAACCTAAACCCGTTAATTTCGTACGAATTTTAAATTGTACTGCCGTGTCGATACCCAAATTACCAGCTCTATTCCTTATAATCATCTTTTGAGTTTGCACTATGCATAACATTTATTATTTTCGAGACTTTTGGAAAACAAACATTAAAATTTTGTACTTATTTTACATTGGACATTTCAAAGAAAACCAAGTCAGATGGTTGTGGAGAGAACAAGAGAAGTACAAGAAGAACAAGCAACCAAAGAGAGAGAGAGATAACATTATCTGTTTTTCTTCTTTTTTTTTCTTTTTTTTTTTGAGAGAGAGAGAGAGGGAGCATTATTTTGAGGTTTGTAAATATTAGTTAAATAGTGGGGCAAAGAATTCCTAGCCATCCAAAGAGCAATTTTGGATTATTTGTAATTCCAGGTTCGAGAGAAGCTCGTGCTTGCCACGTTCACCTATATCACATGGTGCTACGTGTTATGTTCCCTTGACACTAAGCTTCTAGATTCTGGATAACTACATAAAATACATAAAATTCTAGTTTTTCTTTATCTGATTTGGAACATATATGCTTTATCATAAAAGGACCAGATGTGTGATTGTTTTTTGGGTAATTCTATTTTCACCCTTAATATTCATGATTACGTACCCCCCACCTGTGAGAGTAGTCTCTAATTTGATCCTGGCGAAAAACAGTGGGAAGAATGCAATAACTCGATGAAATAGAGTTATTTAACATACTTTTAGACTTAGTAGTTATTTATTTTCTCAAGGTAAAATGTCTTAGTGTTAGTATTTTGTATAACATTTGTTAGTTTTTATTTAGTTGATAGAAGGTTGATATTTGTGGAACAATCTCTTTATAACATGGATTTAGTCATCATGTTCAATACAGGTGTGTTGACTTTGGGTAATTAGTGCAGGAAAATAACAGGACAGTGTTGGTAAAAGCAATTTGAAAGAAAAGCACGGTAAAGGAAGTGAAGGCAGGAACGAACCCGTTGTTGCAATAAAGTTA